TATCATAACATCAACAGTCTGCAGTCGAAGAAGATCAGAAATTCGAATAACACTGTCGAACTCACAATCGTCACAGTGACTCGATAAGATTAAAATCTAAGTTTGAGATAATGTTAAAAACTAAAGAGAAAAGGTGGAGTCGAAGCTTAATAGTCAAAGGTTGTATGGACTATGGAGGTTGAAGAATATGAGAAGAATTTGAAGTTTGAAGAGTTAGAGTCTTCGAGAGTATTAGGGCAAGTAAAGGTCGGGAGGTGAGTTAGGAGTGGAGTGGGATTATTTTTACTTCTAGAAGATGATTAGTCAAGAGAATCAATTAGTTAATTAGGGAATATTAGTCAATTATTAGAGTTTTAGGTGCGATTGAGAATTGAAAAACAAAATAAATAAATAATAAATTAAAAAATTTTATATTTTTAAATGGGTAAACGGGTCAAACCCGTTAACCCAATGAGTTAACCCGTTATTGACCCGTGACCTGTCGGGTTCTCTTAATGGGTCATTAACGGGTTACGAGTCATAAATATATAACCCTAACCCGTTTTAAATAGGCGGGTAATGGACGAGTTAACGGGTTGGGTAAAAAATTACCAGGTTTACACAAGACTCAAGTTTGTAAGAGAGTGATAGCCCGTGCGAGAAAATTTGTAACCAGGGAAATTCCTTAAATCTCAACTCCAAGGAAATCCAAGGCTTTATATAAAGGGGTAAAGTAAATTAAAATTTTAATTTTAAATTATGTTATTTTATTTAATAAAAATTAATTTAAAATTTAAAAATCTATTTTATTTAATGTTGATACTTACATTTAGAAGCTAATTATATTATTAAATATAGAAACTAATTATATTAAAATATATAATTAGTTTTTAAATCTGAGTATCAACATTTAATATAATAGAGTTGTTAATTTTAAATTGAGATTTTGATTTCCAAATATAGATGGAAATTCTAATTCTTTTTGAAATTGAAATTGATATGCAATACCTTCTTCAATTAATTCCCCAAACCTAATTAGAATAGGAAAACAACCTAACTAAAATTAAAGCCTAAACAAAATAGAAAATGGGCTTGTTTATTCTATTCCTTAAAAGTAATTATTAACTAATAATTATCACTTTTTTTCTTAAAATATATAAAATTTTAAATTAAAAAAATATGTTCTAATTTAAATTTTAAAATGAGTGAATAAAAAACTAACATGTTATTTATAATTAAAATAAAAGTCAATTTTTATTTTTTAAAAATAAAAATTAACAATAATTATATAATTATTACTTCTTTATCATTCACTAAGAGATAAAACTATCTTTAATTTGAATCCCTCATGATTCAAACCTAGCAATTCGAAACCTGTGTTTATGTTTTGTTTTATGGGTTTTTATAATTTATGACTGAAGCATAAGTTATGAACGCATTTGTTATACTTTTTTTATTATTAGGGTTTCTCTATTTGTACCTTATAAGAAGCAATTATTGTAGTTAATAATTGTCACTTTTTTCTTAAAAAATATGAAATTTTAAATTTTTTTTAAAAAAGTTGTCAACTTGTCATTTTATTTTCAAAATGAATGAGTAAAAACCTAACCCATGAGATTTACAGTTAAAATAAAAGTATACTTTATTTAGCAATAATTACATACTTATTATTCTTTGTCTTCTAAAAATATATGATATGTAAACTGTAATTTATACTCAAAATTATAAAAACAAAACTTTATTTTTAACATCAATATTATATGAAATACTTTAATTAGATTATTGATAAAATTAAAATTAATTTTTTATTTTTAATACAAATTAATAATAAAAATTTACAATAAATGCCCCTCCAAGGAAGTTCCTTATCTTATTAGTAGTACAGAAAAACCATTCTCAATTCTCAAAAAGCATTATCAGTTCGGGTTTCCAAAGGAGGCGGGGGTGGTGAACTGGGACCAAATAAAAAGTCCGTTCACTAAAAATCGAAGCCGAAGGCCCATGCCATAGGCACTGTCACCGAGCTTAACCAGTTAGCCTCCATCGGCATAAGACTTAGCTCACGCTGTAAACCAAGAAAAATAGCGTCAGAATGGTATACAAGGATGTAAACTAAAGTTGTAAATTGGAAGAAGTGGGCTTCAGTCTCAATCAAAATTTCCCAGGAAACTTGGGCTTCGGCCCACTGAAGATAAATAAACTTATACTACTTTCTTTATATCAAAGGTAAACTACTTCAATCCATCCTTAAAGTATAGTGATTTATTCATAAAATTTTTAATTTAGATAAATCACCTTAAATATTATGTGTAATGTCATTTAATATTAACAATTTATTAATTTTTTATGTATTTAATAACGAATTGCTAATATTAGGTGACATCACACATAAAATTTAAAATGATTTGTCAAAACAAAAAATTTTGTGGGTAAATTTGTTTCTATTTTTTATTCAAATGTGAATTCGTCTCTACCACTGTACTTGGGAGTGGATTTAAGTATTCTACTTGTATCAAATTAATTATTAATTGTTAATTTTAAGATTGTATTATATTAATTTTTAAAAATTTGTAAGATAAATAAATATTTTTTTTCTTATTTTAATTTTATCATTATCTATTTACTTTAATTAATTATTTTTATCACAAAAGCCTATTTTTTCTTTTTATTTTTTTTAAAGGGTACAAATAGTTAAAAACATAAATTGTAAAAAAAATAAATAAAAGGGGTCAACTAACAGTATTACAAAATTCAATATCTGCCAAGCCCACCTATGCAGACAAAAGCCATGAAGAATTAAGATGGTTTCTTTACGAATCACAATGTACCATTCCTTTCATTCTTTCTTGCGTAACATCACTTTTCTTGATAATAGTGTTTTAATTCACGTTGATTCATGTTTTCATATAGGAATAAGGACGCTCACACTCCAGTTCCAGTTAATGCATCTACAGCCACTGCTCAAACAGCAGTCATTCCGATTATGGCTTTTTCCCTGTGATGCCTTGCTACAACTTTTATGGTTTGGGAACTTCTGAGAATAGTTTTATTAGAACTAACATATTTAGCTAACCCAAATAAATAAATTATAAAAAAAAAAAAAACCAAGAAATTAGCTCTCCTAAGTGTCAAATTCTTACTGGTTTGAATTACATATAATGGTGACGTGGATGAGTGTTTTGTTTTCGTGTCGGTGACGTGAGATGAGAGCATGCGAGGGAGGGCCGTAATGGAGAAGACAAGACAGGAGAAGAGTTACAAATAAATATAAAAAATTAATATTTTTAAATACAAAAAATTAAAAGTTAAAATTTTTAAATAAAAATTAAAAATTAATATTTTTATTTATACATTTTGTAGATTTGGGTGGATGGGTGTGTTGAGGCGTAGGGGCTGGGAAACATATGGAAATCTGTTTTTATTCTACATAGGATACAATTACAGCTATACTCGATTTCAATTGTGTTAATAAGTTTATACTTTTATTTTAAAAAATTAGCAACATAAAAAAATTTATATCTTGAACCGTGATTTGATATAAAAATAAAGTTTTAAATTAAAAATTTTAAACTAATAAATATAAACTCAATTAAGCTTTTATGAATCCCAAATGTTAATTTAAGATAAAAAAAATGTATGCACTAAGCAGGTTCAAGGGCATGTCATTTATGCCGATTAAGGAGATTCATGAATCGTAACCCATGAGAGTAGAACTTTAACATAGAATACAATGCTGGCAATAGCCAAAAAAAAAAAAAAAGAAAGAAAGAAAAGAAAAGAGGAAAAAGTACACAGAGATGAGTTTCAGTCCATTTTTCTTCTTACTTTCAACAGAGTAAGTGGCACGCCTGCATCTAGATTTCACACGTGCGATGCCACTAAA